AAAAAAAAAAAAAAAAAAATCAGCTTATTCTTCATTTTCAGTTCAGATAATGAAATTTGAATTTGAAAGTATGCAGGAAAAAAGAAAAAAAAAGAAAAAGCAAGAGTATTGCTAATTTTTTTTTTTTTTTTTTTTGCTATCAAAAAATTCTTTTTATGCATGCCATTTTTCCCAAAGGAATTTTATTATATCGCATAATGTCATATCACTTTTATTTCTCATCTTTATCACTTTAATCACTTAACTCATTTCATTGTTCTATCGCTTCATTTCATTAGTAGGCTAAATTAGCTAATTTTTGTCAACACAAAACAACTCTAACTAACTAAAACGAGACATCTCTGATAACAATACTCATTATTTGTCACCCTTCTAATGTCACCCATCTCATGACTAGATTCCACATCCTATCCCAATCCATCCCACCTCAATTACCCATGTTGAAATGTTTTCACATAAATAATTTGCTTCTCATTTGTTATATTTATCAACCTTTTTTTTTTTTTCTTACTACTTTTAGGGTAAAATTTGCAAAAATAAACAGTTTAAGATGAATTTTAATAATAAATTAGAAAATTGCATAGTGAAAGAGAAATAGTTTGTGAGCAAAAAGAGAAGAGAAAATTTATTGCAGGTAAGCACTTGAAACTTTCTGTACAATTTTAAAATTAAAGAGTGCTTGAACCAAGAGCATTCATTAATTTTTAGATCTTCTCGAGATGACACATATATCTCAAAAATTTCCGACAGGTGACTAGCTATAGTGATCAGTAATCAGATTATTCCTTTCCGTGTTGCATTTTAAGTGCTCAGTAAAGAATCATCAGCAATCTGATATTGTTCTTAGTTTAATTTAATTTAATTTTAGACACTGAAAATTGCACATAAAAGATTAATGAATAAATTTTTGCGAAAAATGCATAAAGTTATAATAGATGAGACGAATTTTTCATTCCGTTTCATTGCATTTATTATATATTTTAATTTTTAGTTATAATTTTAGTTTTACATCTTTGTTTGAAGATTTAAGGCGCTAATTCATTAATTAATTCTTTATTTCCTTTATCAATTATAGAAGTAAAATTTCACTTTCACTTTCACTTAAAATCTCTCAGCTAACGATTAAGTGGCAAACTATAGTATGGCTAAATTATTCAAAACAAAATTTGATAGAATATTTGAGATATACTTTATTTTAATTATCGCAATTGTCAAACTATAAACAATTATAGTTAATGTATCTATAAATAAATCTGTTTGACCATTTTAATTTATTTAAATTAATTTAAATAACTTTCAAGCAATTTAACATTAATAAGTAGAATGATTTAATTAAAGTATACATTTTAATTAGAGATAATGCAATGAATAATCACTAAAAAAAATTAATCTTTTTCTCATATCGTTTTGTTAGAAAATAATTTTACTATCATTTACATATGAATTTCTTTAATTAATCAATTTTTTTGTTTAACATTGTATTGATTAAAAAATTTTTTGATAGAAATTGTGCTTTTGAAGCGTAAGCATAACTTTTGTAATGAATGCTATAATGAGCACATTAAAATTAATGGTATCGACCAATTACTTCTTTCATTTGAGAAATATCTTAGTTCTAATGGTATTTATTTTTTTCCATCAGCATTAAATGGTATAATTAATCACTAAGGTTGGTGTAAAATAAGTTATTATAATTAAAAAGTTAGGAATTAAATTTAATACTACTATTCAAATATGATTTAAAATGAAGACAAAGCAGAAATTCTAAAATTTGTCGATGGTGCAAAATTGAGAATGTATATTTTCTTTAGGATATACAACAAAAAATTTGAAATATGACATTTTGAAATTGGTAGATTCTGGAAGATCGAATCAATTCACTTTTTAAAATTCAAAAAATATAAAATTATTTAAAAATTGTTTTTTTTTTTTTACTTTTTTCATATACTTAAAAAAATTATAGAGTAATATGTAAACTGTTATTTCATATGAAATTTCTAAAGTAAAATTTCATTTTCTTTATCATGATATTTGCAACTTATCATAATCCAATGATAATAGATTGACCTTTTGATCTTTTGATTCAAAATCGATAATGTAGTTACTATTCGAACAAGGTATGGTCAATAATTGAACAAAAATATCAAATCCAACTTATTTCTGATAAACTTTTCAGGTTTGCACAAATAATCATTTCTTAACAATCTGTTATCTATTGCAATGATAAATAGCTCATTTGGGAAAAAGTGTTAAAGTTACTTTTAAAAAGTAAAATCAATCAAAATTGCACAGATAATGTTGCCATTAAAGTTAGAAAAATACTTCATTTCGAAAAAAAAAAAAAAAATTAAAATTCTTAAAATGAAAATGAAAAAAAAAAGATTCCTTCCGGTGATGATCAAAATTAATTTTTTTTTCTCTCTCTCTCTCTCTCTCTCTCTCTCTCTCTCTCTCTGTTAACTGAATTTCCAATCAAATTTGACGACTATTTCTTTTTTTTTCCAGAAATAAAACATTATAATGAAAAGTTTTTCTCATTCTTTTTTTGTTTTTTGCAATTTTATTGCATTTATTTGTTGTATTTTTGTTTTATGAAATTGCTTTACTAATTATATTAAAAGTAATTATACTTTAAATATAATTCACATTTTAATACTAACAATTTTCAAATCTTTTGCTAATATTACACTTTGTTCTCGTTATTATCACAACTTTCTCATTAACTTTTGCCAGCAATCATTTTATTGATAAGTGAAATGTTTGTGAAAGTTTTTGATTTTTCAAATCTATTACTTCTAGATTTTTTTTTTTTTTTAAAGTTCCAAATGAGTTAATTTAAGAGACACAAACATAGCATATGATTGTTTTTGACTAAAATAGTTTAATTATTTAAATTTAATTATTGATATTGTTTTATTATCAATAATTTAGAAAGAATTGGTATAATATGCATAATTAATTGATAATTTCTAATCATTTATTAAACGTAAAATAGTTGCTTAGTTGGTTAGTAATTAATTTCATTCAAATTTAGTTAAAATTTTTATCTGAGATTGTCAATGCAGTTTACAGTTCAAATGAAAGCAATAAAAAAGACTAATCGAACTGTTAAAAATATAAAAAAAGCAGCGAAAATTTTTCGTTATAAAATTCTTCCAAATCGTTGGAAAAATGGAACAACTTTTAAACTTTTTTAGAAATTTAATTAAACGAAACAAATTGATTTTTATTTCTTATTTTAATCTAAAAATTTAATTTTTTTTTTTTTTTTCAAAAAGGAAATGATAAGAAAGAAAAAAAAAAAATATTTCCTTCATTTCCATATAGCAATATTGACTGTGTAATTCTGATTGATGATTGCACTTTTTTAAAAAAAAAATATTTCAGATAGATCTTTTATTTTTTTTGCAATAAACTTTTCAAAAAAAGAAAAAAAAAAAAATTGACAAATCCTATAATGCATCAGAATTAATTTTTTTTCTTTTTTTTTGCCAAGTAATTAAATTTTATAATTAATACTTTTATGATAACTTCGCGTTTTTCTCTTTTTAAAATGTTTTATTGTGATGAAAAAGAAATTAAAACCTAAGAAAGGTAAATGATTTATTATTACGATGACAAAGTAAAACTGAAGACTAAATTGTTATTTCGCATAATAGAGGTAATTAATTGGAAGCATTAATTGTTTTAATAATAGTTTTTGCTGTAAAAGTTTTGCCAAAATGTTTTGCTAACACATTTATATTTAAAAGTAAATTAGTTTCATAGGTTAAAAACAGAATATCTACATTTATAATTCATTATTTGTAATCATTTATGGTTTGCTAATTTTTACTTACTCATACTTATGTGATATATATTTCGAGTAAAAGAGAAAATATTCTCTTAGCTAATCTTTGAATGTTGACAAAAGTAAAAACCTTTATTTTGAAATTAAATTGAATTATATTTTCAAAAAAAAAAAAAAAAAAAATGCTTCTTTTGCAATAATTTCAATCTAATTACAAAATAAAGTTTAAGAAAAGTCAATTATATTTGAAAAAATACTGCGAAAAAAAAAAGTCAAAAATATCCAAAATTTCTTTCCTTGGAATTTTATTATTATTATTATTTACTTTTCTTCATTGTATTACTTTCATATTTGATCTGTGCATAATACTTTTAAACTATTCTGCTATGTTTTTATTTAAATTAAAATTCCATTTTACTCTATTTATCATATTCATAGCTTCAGTATAAATTATTTAAAAATGACTATTCGTAAAAGATATTTGTAATATTAGAAACAGTTGGACAAAAATTGAATTTTATTGAATAGAATGAAAATATCAAAATATATCAAAATGATTAAAAAAAATCAAAATGATATCAAAATGATTAAAATATTGAGAGCCGGAAGGAACTTTAGGTGAAAATGAGCAAAGTTTATTTGTTAAGAAAAAAGTTTTAAATTTTTGTTAAGAATTTAAATTTAACCGCATTTCCTTCTTTCATCTTTCTTTTTTTTTTTTTTTTTTTTTTTTTTTTTTTTTTTGCTCCTTTTGAAATCGATTTCATTTTGTAATATTTATATATCAAAATGATTAAATTTTTTACAATTAAATTTTGTTCTATTTATTTACGTCACATTTATACAATTTATGGCTTTATTCCTTACTTCTTTTCATTTTCATTCTTTTTATTGGTTTTATGTCTACGACAGATCTTGCAAATATTTGTTAAAATTAGGATGAAATGTGCTATAAATTTCAAAATAGTCTTTCATGTACTCATTGAATTTTGATCATTAATGGAGTTTTAAGTTAAGTATTTTAGAGAATATCCATTTTAGATAATAAACATTTTTCCATGGAAATTAGATAAAAATCAAAAAACGATATAATATTTAACAAATTTAGCAAATTATTATTTTTTTTTTTTTTTTTATTTAGCAAATTATTTTTTTTTTTAATTATTTTAAGCAATCATTGTAAAATATTATAAATTGTAATCATTTCAGTATGTATCTAATAGATTTGGCCACTGTGACAGCAGCGCTAGCAATATGCTTTGGTGACTTTGTGTGCGCTTATGGAAATCATCGACAGAAGAAGCAATTATCACCAGCGTTGCAACTCGAAGATAACATTAATTCTCTTTTGCGTCTTAATGAATTGGTATTAAATGTAAATAATTAAATAAATTTTAGTATTGAAACAATTCTCTCAAATAATTTCCAACTTTTCTGGGTTACTTTTTTTTTCCCCCTCTCTCTCTCTCTCTCTCTCTCTCTCTTGTTCCAATTATGAAAAAGATTATTTGTTGAGTTAAAAATCATTTTCTTTTTTTTTTTTTTTTAAAAAATCTTTTAGGGATATAAACGTTCCTTTGGAGAACCATCACATGCAATGGAATTTCACGATGGTTTGGATGATCTATTCTCATTGCAAAATATTGGCAAACGACCTGCATTAAGTCCAGCAGATCAATTCGCCAGACAAATGGACGTACTGTGACCTTTTATATTTTATCTTTATTTCGTATGATGATATAAGTGCAGTAGCTACATTTGATACTGAATTTGAAATGTTTAAATTTATGCATTTTAAAAGGTCAATAGATTTATTCATTCAGGCTATGCAGCACTTGGCAGCGGCTGGTAAGAAAAGGTCATTGTCACCTGCGACCGATTTTCAACAGCAATTACAACTGCCGCATATGCTAATGGATGCAGGCCGTTAAAAGAAAGAAAAAATGATTTATTCAGTGATATTTAAAATAAGTGAAGGATCTCGAGAAAAAAAAAAAAAAAAAAAAAAGAGAAAAAAATGTGTTTATTGTCTAATTACACCACTAGCAAATGCAATAATTACCATAATTATTACTACTAATTACAGTAACAACTATCCTAAAATATATATCTATAAAATTGGAAAAGTTTTAAATCTAAAATGAAATTTTAGAGTTTAAAATGAATTGTGAATATTGTGCAAATTGTAATTTTAAATTTAACCATTAATTTCTAACAGGAATATCCAACGAAAGATTAATTTGACTGCATCAATCTAAAACGAACTATCAAAATTACGAGAGAATATGCATAAGCGATTGTTTCAAAATTTATAGCATATTTTGTCCCAATTTCAAATAAATATCTCGACAACCTATGGTAGACATAGATGAAACCAATAAAAGAAAGAAATTAAAAGAATAGAGGAAAAGAGCATGAACTATGTGTAAAAGCAAATTTTAATTATACAAAATTTAATCATTTTGATATTAATATCGTAAATGAAATCATTTTTCAATGAGAGTAAGAGAGAGGAACAAAGGAAGAATAATTCAAATTCTTATCAAAATTTGAAACTTTTTCTCAACAAATTAACATTCCAAAACGTTCATCGTCATATTCCACCTCTCAAATTTCAAGATTCTATCCCTCCTCTAAAATTTAATTTCTGTTGACTGTTTTCTAATACTAGAAATGATCCATCGGAAAATTTCGGGTAAATTAGTTACGGGTTAGGATTGTAATTTAATTAATGCTGTTGCAGTTGATCATTATTAATAGCTATAGGTCAAATTTTGCTCAGCTTTAAAAATAATATCAATAATATTGAAGAAGCAAGTGATTTTGTGAATTTCATCGATGTTTCAAAATTTCTTTCTTCATAATTTCGTTACATTCACATTATCAATTCTATTGAGACAAACTTTTTTTTTTTTTTATTTACACAATTATACAAATATAAATTGCCAATGTTTATGGAATTGTTGTTGAGAACAAAAAGTTGTGAAATTTCAACCACCACTTTAAATTTTAACAATTTTAAATTTGAAAAGTATCTTATACTTTTGAGAAATCAAATGAAAAAAAAAAAAAAAAAAATGAAACAAGTTTCTATCAGATACCATTTCTATTAGTTAAATAAAAATTATGTTGCTTCTTTTTTCATTTTTTTCTTATAAAATTCAAAAATATACTTAATAAAATGTAATTAATTGAATAGAATATCTCAAATTATATTAATCATATAATTTCATTTTATTATTGATATCAGCGATGTTAACAAATGATATACACACACACATAATTATTATAAAATAACAAATAATAAAAAACAAACATTTGCAATAATTTCCTTCAAATATATTTGAAAAAAAAAAAAAAAAAAAGAAATGGAAATGAAACGTAAAGTAACACGTATAATTCATTCAGTAGAACGATTAAATGCAAACTGAAAAAATGATGACTTGAACAAAATGCACATATAAATACATCTGCTTGATGAAAAGGCAAAAAATTGCATTATTTTTTTTTTTTTTAAAAAAAAAAAAAGAATTAAATCATGAAAAAAATAATAAATTGAAATCTTAAAAAAAAAAAAAAAAAAAAGATTTGTTTTTTCGAAGCAAAAAAAAAAAAAAAAATGTTAGAAATATTTTTTTTTTGGACAAATGAGCTTGAGCATTCTAAGTAAATAGTTCTGATAAAGATAATATTTAAAGTATAATTATTATTGATCAGTCCTAAAGCTAGGCTATTTCCTAGAATTTTAAGTAGTTCAATATGTGAAGCCAAAACAGTTCTGTGTTTAATTATACTCAAAATGAATATATGTATAGTGAACAGTTCTCGATTTAATTAATTATGCAAAGAGCTAATTAGCTAAAATAAATTTCAGTTAGTTTATTATCGTTAGATCGTTAGATAAATGAATCCAATAACTATTGAAAAGTCAAAATTTGCAAAAGCTCATCGATATTTTCAAACCAAACTTTTTATGTACAAAAAATAGCTGAAATTTCAAAAAGAAGTAAGGAAGAAACAATTTTTTAGTGTGTGATAAACAGAGCGCTTTCAAAAGTGAAAATAATTTGAATAATTAGCGTATCAAATGTTCATTGAAAGTAGGCAACGTTAATAAAAGGCAAGCCTTAAAAAAAAATATTAAAAATATCTCACATATATCTAACATATATAAAATATATTTTACCACCGGTATTGAACAGGTTTCCTGATTCTAAATTTTAACTTGAATCCTGACATTTTCTAATAGCAATGAAAATTTTATTAGCCTGCAACAAGTCTGTATAAACGACATGTCGATTCTGGAACCGGTGATACCTCAAAAACGAAACCGATCACCATTAATGGTTCTTTTGTATCACGATTTGTTACTACCTGTAAATTATTCAGCTAAAAGAAAATTTAATAATTTTTTTTTAATAAATCAAATTTTAATAAATCTAATAAAACAAAATTTAACAAATCAAATGATGCAGTTACTTTCTACTTTTACATAATTTATTTTATCAAATTTTCATCAACAACAAAACAATCCTTTTAATTGAAAAAAACAATTTGTCATAAAGTTAATGTGTAGATGCTAATTAGATGCTAACTACGAAATTGGTAAATAAATTTAACGATAAAATAGATCACAGATCTATTAAAAAAAAAATATAGAAACTTGCAATATTACCTGCAATACTGTGAAATTATATAACACACTATTCATTAAGTCATGACTTTGTAATTTTTTCAGCTCTGCAACAAATTTCACCATATATTCACACATTGGTGATCCTTCTAATCGAAAATTAAATTTTCTTCCGTTTTCAATCGGTGAGTAAATCTAAAAAAAGATCACAATATTATTTACAACCAACTAATATGACAGTATCGATTTTTAGATGTTCAACTGGAATCACATTAGTGATACCTAAAAATCGCTAAATCCGATGTAAGTCTTTATAATTGTAAAGTTAAAGCTTATACTTGCTGACTAGTTGAAAAGTTAAGATTTTATGAGTTTCTAAAATCATCATTAGCTCTAATTTTGAAATGTATTAAATGAAAATATGGATAAAGAACAAGTAATTATATGGAGTAGAACAAATTTTTAAAAATTTCTAACTTACTTCAACTTTCTCGATCACTTGCTTACCAAAGGAGCATACTTTTGTGGATACTGTGATATCAAATCGTTGGGTACTTTCATAGAAGCTATCAACTGCATAAAGAGCAGAATTATCATCCGGTAGAGTGAATTCGATGTTAGCCCAACATTTCACAAGGAAAAAACCATCACGAGGTCCCGATGCAAATAACTCACCAAGTACTGGTGGATATTTCTCTGCTATATCCTCTAACTTGAAAGTCTGCAAAAAAAGTAATGAATAAAGTAATATCTATGATTCTAATTATAGTTAGCCAAATAGACAAAACAAATTGCTTTTCAAGAAAAGAATAACCTTTTTTAGATCACAAGACGAATAGTCTTATAATTTTTAACCATTTCAAACATTCAACAAATCATTCAATTCATATCATAAAGTAATTAATTACATTTCATTGTTCGTCCCCTCTCTCTCTCTCTCTCTCTCTCTCTCTTAACTACAATTTTTTTTTTCTTTTTACTAAATGCCAAATTTTTTCCTAAAATTTTCGCTTAAATTAACACTGTCAATTTCTTGCAATCCTTTTGCTATTATTATAATCCTTCTCGATGACAATTATTTTCATTCATTTTAACTATCTAACTAATCAACATATAACTGTAAAATTACAAAAATCTAACCATATCAAATTACAGTAAATACATTTCAGCCAGAAATAATTGCTATCCAAAATAATTAACACAGCCTCACTTTCCCTTAGCAATCTATAAGAATGTCGTGTATGTCACATAATGTGGGCTTTGTAACTTTTGTGAGAAAAGTTACTTATGGGGAGGATTTGGAATAATATTCAGGGTAATGATGTATTTTTTTTTTTTTTTAAGGTACAATGATAATAGGGCAATATGCTGAGAAATGAAGTGACTGACCTTCTTCGATTGATCTTTCACTATGCTTAAAGTAAGTGTGTGTATGTGTGTGTGAAGCATATAATATACTCAGAAAAAAAAAAAAAAAAATTATCAGATTCATCCATAGAATGTTAGTTTTTAATTTTCCTAAAATTTGTTCAAATATTTAAATGAATTTGTTGGAATTTTGAGAGAAACAAAATTTAATTTTTAGTAAAATATATCTTTCTAACAAATGATAATACTACGAGAAAATTTTACATTGCTTTTATGTCAATTTAATATTTACTGTTACAAATATTACCTCAAGTGGTTCATCGGCAAGTTTTGGTATTCGCACGAGGTCTACCCGTGAAGCAACGTTGTTTGGAATGGGTTCAACATAAGCTGTGAAACCGCATAAGGTAAGCACTGAAGAAGCAATAGCACGATCATCAACAGGTATCACAGGTGATAACTTTTCCACTGGTGACTGACCATTCAATGATACTCGACCATTGTTGTAGCCATTTATTCTAAGAATTTCAATTTTCAATAAATTGACATACATCTAATAAATTGAAATGTCTCAAGAATTTTTAACTCAGTTCAGGTGTAAGATGAGATATAGTTTTTTTTAACTAGAAACAAACTTAAATTATTAAAAGAGTAAAATAGGTCAAGATTGAGGGAAGAAAACTTACTCGACGATACGCTGATAAGCTTTGAGATCTTCCTGAGCTGAAAATGCGGTCTGTGCCGAAGTTGGAGTTGGAAAACCCGCGGGCCATACTGTTGGGTAAAGTGCCCGAGGTAGGACATTTTGCTTACTCATCGCCAACATCGATAAATTATTTAATGCTGCTGACATCGGTTTTTCTTTTTCAGCACTAGTACCAGGAACAGTTGTACTAACAGCGGATGGCGGAGATGTTTCCGCTGACTTAA